GCCTAGTCTGAATTATTCAACATATGATAAAGAACTTTATGCACTAGTTCGGACTTTGGAGACATGGCAACATTATTTATGGCCTAAGGAGTTTGTCATACATTCTGATCATGAATCACTCAAGCATATTAGAAGTCAAAGCAAACTGAACCATAGACATGCAAAATGGGTTGAATTTATTGAATCTTTTCCTTATGTTATTAAGCACAATAAAGGGAAGGAGAATGTTATTGCCGATGCATTGTCTAGACGCTATACCATGTTATCACAACTTGACTTCAAAATTTTTGGACTTGAAACTATAAAAGAGCAATACGCTAATGATGTCGATTTTAAAGATATATTGCTCAATTGCAGGGAGGGTAGAACTTGGAACAAGTTCGTCATTAATGACGGATTTGTTTTCCGTGCTAACAAGCTATGCATCCCAGATAGCTCTATTCGTCTTTTGTTGTTACAGGAGGTGCATGGAGGAGGACTTATGGGACATTTTGGCGTCAAGAAGACAGAAGCCATCCTTGCTAGTCATTTCTTTTGGCCAAAAATAAGAAGGGATGTGGAGAGATATGTTGCACGCTGCACGACATGCCAAAAAGCTAAGTCACGCTTGAACCCACATGGTTTATATATGCCTCTTCCTGTTCCTAGCACTCCTTGGGAAGATATATGTATGGACTTTGTATTAGGACTGCCTAGAACACGACGGGGGAGGGATAGTATATTTGTTGTTGTCGATAGATTCTCTAAGATGGCACATTTTATACCTTGTCATAAAAGTGACGATGCTACTCACATTGCTGATTTGTTCTTTAGAGAAGTAGTTCGTTTACATGGTGTGCCAAATACAATTGTTTCTGATCGTGACACAAAATTTCTTAGCCACTTTTGGAGGGTGTTGTGGACAAAATTGGGGACTAAGCTTTTATTTAGCACTACATGTCATCCTCAAACAGATGGTCAAACTGAAGTGGTTAATCGAACATTGTCTACTATGCTTAGGGCTGTTTTGAAAAAGAATTTAAAAATGTGGGAAGAATGTTTACCTCATGTAGAGTTTGCTTATAATCGTTCAGTTCATTCTACCACAAAGTTATGCCCTTTTGAGATTGTTTATGGATTTATACCTCGTGCGCCTATTGATTTATTACCCATTCCATCTTCGGAGAAGGTAAACCTTGATGCTAAAGAACGTGCTGAGCTCGTATTGAAAATGCATGAGATGACTAAGAAAAATATTGAACGCATGAATGTCAAGTATAAACTTGCTGGTAGTCAGGGTAGGAAAAGTCTTGTGTTTGAACCAGGTGATTTAGTATGGTTACATTTGCGAAAAGACCGTTCCCCTGATTTACGAAAGTCAAAATTAATGCCTCGTGCAGATGGACCTTTTAAGGTGATAGAAAAAATTAATGAGAATGCGTATAAGCTTGATCTGCCTGCAGAATTTCGGGTTAGTCCCACATTTAATGTTGCAGACTTAAAACCTTATTTGGGAGAGCATGAAGAGGTACCGTCGAGGGCGACTTCGATTCAAGAAGGGGGGGATGATGAGGACATCTCTGCCACAGTTGCACCCACCGCGACATCAGTTATTCCATCTGGACCTATGACTAGAGCACGAGCGAGACAGATAAATGACCAGGTACTATCGCTCCTTTGTACATATGATTTAACTAATGAGAATATTATATTACACTCATGTTTGGATTTACTTGTACTCAGGAACGAAGGTGTTGGAGAGATAAGGAGGAAAAGCCGCATGCAGATGGAAGATGAAAAATGTTGCACGTTGATTCCACAAGCAGCAACACTATTGACATGCAAGAAGGTACCTAGCCACGTACGTGCTGAAGTGCAAAGGAGGAGAAGGAGTATTAGGCTTCCTGGACCGGATAAGGCCACGTCCGCGTGCAGCCCACACCGTCAACAGCTAAACAAGGAAATAAACTACATGTGGGCCGGCTCATGATTCTGATTTCTTTCAAGTCGTAGCCGACCAGGATTCGTCTACGCGCAGGCGGCCGTACTCTAATAAATAGTTAGCTACTGTTAGGTTTAGATCTCGGGTTTTATTGTATTGTCTAGCCATCGCTACAATTCGCATCTACGAGACGTGTAGGACTACCGCCTTGTCAGATCCACAGTGGAACCCCAACTTTCCATCTAGTTCGTGTGCTCAGTTTATTATCCGCAATTTCAGTTGCAATTCACCTTTGTTCTTGCCGGTTCTTCGGTTGCTTGCAGGAACTTGAATCTCGTTGTTCAGGTTGATCGTGCCTACGGCAAGGTCAATAACCATCGGAGATTGGTTTAGCGATTGTCGAGGCGTATCGTCGGGTATGGTATAGCCGGATCGTCAAGGTCAAAATCCACCAAATCGATAATTATCCCCACTCTCATCGAAAGATCGGGCCGCCGTCACATCAGGATGGATACGTGCAGGATGGTGGCGTTGTCTAACATCGTGCGGCGTCGACGGCAAGCCTGACAAGGTCGGTCAGTACCTGCTCTAGAGATGGATCGGTGGAGACGACGACGGCGACCTCTGAGAGTGCGCCGGATCGGACCCAGTCTCAACATTGTGGCTTGGTTGGGGCATCCGGCTTTACATGTTAGGTTTTGGTGCGATATCTGTTTGGTATTCGGCTCGGACATTTGACATCCCTCCATCAAGGGGATAGGAGTAGCGACAGGTGTTGCCAAGACGGCGGCTTTAGGCTTACTGATGTATTGTTTTGTAAGGCCTTTGAGAATAATTAGTAAAATGGTTGCATGCATTGACCATATGCAGAGGCCAGAGGTATATCATCCTTCTCTAAAAAATGATATTTATATTGACCTGTCCAGTGAGTTCCTCATGCAGCTGATATATTTCACTGCATATTATCGAACTCATTAGAACAGATCAACTAGCATAACCTAAATTTATGATTTTTTGTTTCGTAAATAAACTAATTTGGCGATTAAGGGCATCTTCAACGTCATCTCTCAAAACACCCACATACACCGGATTGAGTTGTTCGGACGTAGTTTGTCATGTAACGTGTACTCGTATTTGTTCCTGAACGCGTCTGCTTCTTCGAATTCTAGCAAACCGGACGCAAACTCAAGGAGGTTTGTGGGCGTCCGGACATTCGCCACATACGTGTTGAACATCCCCAGCCCACTCAATCCCCCCGCACCACTTTTTGGCCACTTTGTCCCCCTTTCCTTACTCTGCGTCCGCACCCTCTTCGCCGTTGCTACCGCCCAAGCATTGCTGGATGACGTTTGCAACCCCCACCCATGCGCCTTCCCTTCTTGGTCTATGTTGCCGTCCATCCAGGATCCATCTGCAACCAGGTACCCTCCGCCCCTGTCGACGCCATCCATGACGAGCACCAGGCTCGATAAGTGTTCGGTCTAATGCCGTCGAGCTATTTTGTTGACCTTTTTGTTGTTTTCTAGTAAAGGCCGATTAGTTAACCTAGTAGGCTTCTAAAATAAAGCTAGGTAGATGGCAACTTATTTCCACGGCCCCAACTAAGCCACAAAAAATTGGCCCTAAGCACGATATGGTGAGGTACTCGGTGATGGGAGGATTAGTTGCTATGTGATGCGTGAAAGATCGTGTATACAAATTTTGTAGGCATGAGGCAAGGGGCACTCGACCTTTTGGCAAAATATGCATGCTTCGTTTTATGAGCAAAAACACTTCGTGCCCTACAACTTGCACATGATCCATGAACGCGATGTGAAGTTGCTAGCCCATCAGTGATATACCATCTCCAACTCCGCCATGAAGTATTGCAGTGCGACTGCATAAGTGCAGACAAATTGGTTACCGGACACATCACCCATGAGGATCGTAAGTGTTGCTTCTTGTTGCTCTACATGTAGGTCAATTCATTGATTTACTTAAAATCTTAACATGATAATCATTGCGTTGTATAGTCCGGGCACGCCGTCACGTTGTAGCACATAAGCGAGGGCATGTCATCTACGTTTATACATTGTTAGATGAAGCTCAAGGGGCATAGTGCGTGAGACGACATGTGCGGATTCTGACTCGTGTGCTCCTTTGAATTTAAAAGTACTTGTTTAAAACATCCCGTTATCTTAGATAAAATATTTATATTATATTTGAATTATTATAGTACTAGAGATATTTTGCATGTTATTTATGAATGAATTATGCTATTTTTTGTCATATTATTGCACTCGAGTGTCGTTTTGAGAGTTGCTAGAGCTGCCATAAGGGCCTGTTTGGTTTCAAATAAGTCACCAACTTATAGTCGAAAAGTGAAAAAAGTGACTTATTTTGTCAAACAGACCTAACTTATAAGTCACCCCAACTTATAAGTCATAAGTTGCTCCATCCCAACTTAAAACTTATAAATCACCCCCTTTTACGTGGGTCCCATCACCTTTACATAGAAAAATAAGATGGGAAGGTGTGGTTAAGTGACTTATAAGTCAAGTGACAACCAAACATGCATGACTTATAAAAACCAATGACTTATAAGTCACGCATGTTTGGTTGTCACCTGACTTAAGTCACATAATTTATAAGTTAGGTGACTTATTGGAACCAAACAAACCTCAAGAATGGACAAATAACAAATGAGTAGGGGCAAGCGAGATGCCCAATCCCCTATGGTGCGGCCGTCACGCTGTGGTCTGGCCTTTTGAAAAATGAACTAGGTCCATTTTTACATTTTCAATTATTATTTTCCTTAATAAACTGAATATTTTAAGCAGGGCATGGAAAGGACAACGCTCCAACCCGTTCACTCTTTTCAACAACGAGCGGACGCCTACACCGGGACAGAGGGACAACCCGTGCCGTGCCGTCCGTCCACCGATCAGAACTCGGGACTCGGAGCCTCGGAACCTGCGCCGCCAGGCAAGGCAGGAGACGCCTGGCGCGCCCTCCGCGCACGTGTCGCGCGCAAGTCGGCCGCCTCCCTCCGCTTTCCGCTTTTGCGCGTCAGCCGCGGCGCGGCGGCCACCACCATCGCATGTCAAAAGGGAACCCAGACCCGCCACCTCCCCGGCAGCTTCCTCCCTTCCCACGGCGGGCCGCCCACCGAAACCCAAAACCCCGCCCCGAACCTTCCGGAACCTCCCCTCCAGTTCCACCCATGGCCCCGCCCCCGTCCGTGGCCGCTGCCCACGATCGCGACGACCCCTCCCTCCGCCTCCGCCGCGCCCCTGCCGCCGACGGCGTCCACGGAGAGGCGGAGCCGCAGGAGCAGCCGCAGCGGCAGCACGAGATGCCCTGCTACCGGGCGTCGGCGCCCGCCCACCGCCGGGTCAAGGAGAGCCCGCTTAGCTCCGACGCCATCTTCCGACAGGTACGTATGCGCCGCGAATCCCTCCACTTGTTTTCCTTTTCCTTTCTAGCAGCAGCGATTGCCATGATCACATATGCTTTGCTTTGTTTGAGCCGGCCAGCATCGATTCTGTTGCCCACAGTTTCTCTCTTTTCTCCAAATTACGGTTGTCCAGCAGTGCTATATTTTAGGGATGTTGAGTTGAGACAGACACAGGTGCAGTTTCAATTTTTGGCCGCGACAGATTGAGGTCAAAGCCTCTGCTCGTTTTGGGATTTATTAGGGGACCACCGGCGCGTTGCTATTTAGCAGGGCTTGGCGTGTTGAAATGGACAGGCGGAGTGCACGAGGTGCTGACCTGTACAAGTAGCCCGAGATTGGTGTGGCGTTGACTTGTACTAGCAGTAGAAGTAAACAGAGAGTTGTTGGGAGTGTGTTGGGGGCCTTGGGGGTCGACTTTTGTTAGTAACTCAACTGCGGATGCAGGGCTAATTGGGAGGTGTCGTGATCCACATGCTCAGTATCTGTTTGCCACTCTAGGGTTTTAACATGTTAAGGTGCCAGTTTGACACAAGATCCTGAGGACCAGTACTCTGAATGAGTAAGTTCTTTAGTGGAACTAATATGCAACGTTGGGCAGAATGACCAACTGATCGTATGCCCAGAATAACTCCTCGCACTCAAATGCAGCCCTGGCCATAGCTGTTAATCTGTTTCGCAAAGTTCAGTGCATGCCTGCATTTAAATCTGAACAATGTTGGGGTTTCAAGATGAGTTTCAGTCAAATGCCTCTTTGGGTGGCAACCTTATTCCTTTAG